AAGGGGGTTCTATAATATAGGGTCCTCAATAATTAGAATAGGATTTTGAGGTATACTACATTGTATTTATAAGAAGGAACACCCAAATGATATAGGTAATTTTCGGCCCCTACATTAGCCCTGGTTGGGTTGGCAGGTTTCGTCGGACCTAAAACGAGAGCTTAACTTTAGGTTCCCCTATGCCTAGTTCCCAAGCTCCACTCTTTCCAGAGCCCTAAAACCCCCCAACACCCTAAACCCTAAACCCTATAGGTTTGGGGTTTAGTTTAGGGTTTAGGGTATAAAGCCAAAACCCAGGTCCAGCGGCATTCTGTATTGGTGCCGTCCTTCCAGCGCCTCGATGACGAGGACGGGGTACAGGTTTCCATTAGGATTTGCTGGTTTTGGTCCCGAGTTCTGGCGTTCCCGGCTGCCCTGAAAGGGCAAGCCACGCTGCTGTCGCTGTTCCATGGAGATAGGTCTCAGACGATGATGCTGAACATCGGTTGCTGGTCCTAGAACCCTAGACCCTACATAAGCCCTACCTCAACCCAAATAACCTACCTTCTTAAGGATTTATATAAGGAAATCATATTTAGGGGCCCTGAAAGGCAGGTTCTCTGGGGTCCAGGTAGGCCTATGGTAACTTCTGGATGAAGATGAAGTTATTTTCCCAGCGCTACTTTGCGAGAGTTCGGTTGTAATGTTCCAGTCCTGAGTGACCGGGCGTCTTGACCCTGAATTTCTGGGGAGGTCTGCATTCCAATCCCAACTTCTGCGCCTACACCCGTGTAGAGCTCCGGCCTTCTTGGGAAACCTCCTAAGCCCGAGATCCTTAACCTACAAGCCTAGAAACCCTGAACCCTAAACCCTGGAGCTACAAACCTATAAACCCTGAACCCTAAACCTCAAAAATGCGAGGCCGTTGTCTTCCCAGAATTTCGCACCATTTTCCGAAGCCCTCTTCTACATCCCCAAAGGCTCCAGGTGCTTATATGGTAGGCCCCCGCCCTACTTGGAGGGTTGGGGGACTTAGTAAGTAGATGTTTTATAGATTTTTTAGTATCATAACCCCAACTAGGGTCCCTTTCAAAGACCTTATAAGTCTACTTATTACCTACTTACTAAGTCCCCCGACCCTCCAAGTAAGGGTCCAAGTACCTAATAATCATATACTCTTCTGAATACTAACCTACAAAACTCTTCTCCGTAAACCCTAAACCCTAAACCCTAAACCCTAAACCCTAAACCCTAAACCCTAAACCCTGAACCCTAAACCCTAAACCCTAAACCCTATCCGTAACCCACGCATATGAGTATTAGGTCCTTCGGACCCTTAGGGTAAGGGGTTTCTATTCTTGGCACTTTAAGGTCTAAGTACAGATAGGTACTTTAGGGTCTAAGTATAGATAGGTACTTTAACATGGTCTAAGTATAGACAGGTACTTTAATAAGGTCCAAGCAGAGAGAGGTACTTCAAGGTCTAAGTATATGCGGTGTGTATATATACATATATGTAAAATTGTATAGGTACCTGGAACCCTTAGGGGACTGTGCCTGCTCATGAAGGAGCAGCATCTGATTCTCGGCTGTCTCAAGGCTCCCCTTCAGAATGAGACCGTTTCGGAGTTTGTGGATTTTGGAGTTAGGGCTTCAGGGTGTTAGGGCTTTAGGGCTTAGGGTTTAGGGGAGTTTGGAGTTGAGATCCTTTTGGGGCAGTGTTGTACAGGGGCTTCTGCAGCTAGTTACAGGGGTCCACATGTGTATGTTCGTCATGGCTGCATCCATTTCCGTGCAGCCGTTGAATTCTTGAGGCATGTTTCTTTGCCAGAGACTTCCCTCGTGCATCGTAGATTCAGTGATCTTCACATTCCAGAATGCAGCTGCCTCTCGGCAGTGTGTGATCCTATCCTACATGAACGGGATCGCAGAGTCTGTCAAGGCTGTCAAGGCCCTGGATCCATCTCCTCGGCTTGGGCAGGATCTCCAAAACTACCATGTACACGCGAAGGTTGGGTCAGCGAAACCGTCGCCCGAAAGGCCTTAAACCCTACCTATAGTCTCCATTGTAGTTCCTTTCGGGGGTTACCCTATAGGATGCTGAATTCTTATTGGTTAAACCACAAAAAGGTATTCCAATGGAGACTATAGGTAAAGCTTGCACCCTTATCCCGAGGTCGGGTTTGGGAACCCGAAGCTTAGCGGCTTAGCGAGTAACTCCCGTCAAAGCTATGCCGTACCTGGGCCCTATGAAAGAGTTCCCCATCATGGTTTCCCATTAGTATGGAAGCCTAAATGATTACCAATATATTTTCCTTAGTGATCCTTATTACAACTGTACTATAAAGGAGCCCAACACCCCATTCTAATTATGAAGGCCCCTACATTAAGCCATATCCTGATCTTTACAGCTCTGTTGTTCCATCACAGCAAGCCTCCAATAGTTATTTGACCAACGATGACCATTAAACCGGCTGTTTCTCATCCAGGCGAGGTTTGTCTTCGGGCCAATGCCTGTCAATCCCTTTTGCTAGGCATTGCACATTCCCATCGATTTGCGCGTGTCAGGCTCATGCCAACTTCAACTTTGGCCAATTCTTGCAGGCGCTGTGCAGGATCTACTGCCAAGGGTTTATTTATGCATAAGGGTAGATGGACACGTAACTACGGTTGATGATATAGATCCGGCACTACCCATAACAAGGAATATATTATAATTCACATAGTTTAGGGTCCTTAAAGTAATGCAGGATTTCGATCATCAACAGTAGGGCGGGTGTGTCGGACTCAGGTGGGCTAAGCCGGGACCTTTGACCCCGGTTAACTGAAGCCTTGAAGCCCTACCTACAACCCCGCCTGTACCTAGGGTTTAGGGTTTAGCGTTTAGGGTTTAACCCTTAACCCTAAACCCTAAACCCCTAAACCCTAAAGCCTAAAGCCCTAGACACCAAACCCTAACCCCTGAAACCTAAAAAGCCCTGTACAACCCTAACTTCATAAGTCCTGAAGCTCTAAGCCCTGACCCCAAGTCCATAAACCCTGAGCCCAGGGCTCCAAGTCTACAAATAGTATCTACTTCGGGGCCTAAAGTGTGTAAACAGGGTTTAGGGTTTAGGGGTTAAGGGTTCAGGGTTTAGGGTTTTAAGCGTACAAATCGTACCTACATTAAGCTATTCGGAGCCCCAGGGTAAGTTCACAACTGCTGCTTAAACACTGGCCCCACGACCTGAAGCCCGAACTCATAAGCTCGCAGCTCATGAGCACTAACACCAAGCTTATAAGTCCAAAGCTCATGAAGCCTAAACCCTAAACCCCTAAACATCATAAGCCCTATCCTTAAACATCATAAACCCTCTAAAAAACCTACCTTTGTTAGGGCTCCTTTTTATGTTTTCTGAACCTACCTTTTTAGGGCTCCTGATTACTATTTCTTTATATAAGCCCTTGAAAAGGCAGGCTATTTGGGGTTAAAGTAAACACTAAGCCCTGAACCCGCAACCTTACGCCTGATCCCAGAAACCGTTCGCATGGAGAGGCGGAGAGCCTACCGGTCAGCCTCTTCAAATGCAAGGCCAGAGCAGTACTAGGTTTAGGGCCTAGGGTTTAGAGTCTCCGTGCGGTTAAGGTCCTGCCTGGGGAATCAGAAACCGATTACTTCTACGGGTTATGCCATACAGACCCTGCAATGTCTAGGTCATAACCTACTATTTTGTATGGCTTGGGCTACAGGTAAACCCTAAACTCCCTAAACCCTAAACCTTCCAAGCCCTAAACCCCTAAGCCCTACGGTTAGGGGTCAGGGTTTAGGGTTTAGACCCTAGGCCCCTATCGTTTGAGGTTTCCGGGTGCAAGCGGCTTTTGACCAAAAAGTAGCTGTGGGAGGGCCTTAGGGGGCGTTTAGGGTTTAGGGTTTACGGGGGATTTCACGAAGAAGATTTCGTATAACTGCGAAAAGTTGAATACCTACTCTGGACTTTGAATGTACTTCCGGTCTTTGGGTGAGTTACGCTTCTTACTGCGCCAATGCTACAATGAGACCATCATTCCGTTAGTCGAGTTACTTGTTGTAGGCATGCATGTTTGTCTCCAAGAGATACCTAGACTGCAGTATGCGGGCGGACGAGCTATATAGCATTGGTTTCATAAGGGTTGCAGACTTGCTAGAGTTTCTCGCAGGAATGCATATGGCACCCTTTCCAAGATTTCCAAAAGAATACATGAGTGTCAACTTTCATTGATCGTCCCTAAATTAGTAGGTTTTTTTCTGCCTGGGCCCTCAAGAACCTACGTTTGTAGGGCTCCTCATTATGACTTCTTTATATGAGTCCTCAAAAGGTGGGTTATTTCGGGTTAAGGTAATTGATGCTACGTACAGTCTCCATTGTAGTTCCCTTTTTTCGGTTTAACCATTTCTATATTAAGGATCCTAAAAGGTAACCCCAAAAGGAACTACAATGGAGACTAGAGGTACCAACATATTCTGCACTCCTATGCGAATCCCCACGGCAGCCAGGGCCGAGCCAAGGAATGAGAGTTCTATGAAGAGGGGGGTATACCGTATAGGGTTTAGGGTTTAGGGTTCGGAGCTTAGGCTACAAGATAGTGCAGACACCTGATGTCTAAACCCATGCGCGCCCTCTTACTTAACAAGGACTACGTACATTTATACATACAAACATGCATGCATAGATAGATAGATGAGTACATACATGCGTACATCAATACATACATACATACATACATACATACATACATACATCCATGCATACATACATACATACATACATACATACATACATACAAGCCTTCAAGCATACATGCACACTCACACTCAAGCTCTCATTTACACTCACGCTCACACTCACACTCACACCCAACAACAACAGCAGCAGCAACAACAGAAACAGCAACAACAACAACACCAATAAGAACAGCAACATCATGGCAAAACAGCCCTTGAAACTCTAAAGAAGACGTGACATCGAGCTTCTGAGGAGTTGCTGACGTCCCAGGAGGAGACCATGTCAAACGTCTTTGGCATCGGCCTCGGGCTTCAGGGGCGAACAGGGCGGTTCAGGGTTTAGGCTTTGTGGGATTAGGGTGGGTTTAGGGTTTGGGGGTTTAGGGTTGAGGGTTGAGGGTTTGGGGTCTAGGGACTCGGGTTTAGGGTTTAGGGGTTTAGGGTTAAGGGTTTAGGCTTTCGGCTTTTTAGGGGTTTGGGTATTAGGGTTTAGGCTCTAGGGTTTAGGGTATGCGGTTCAGCGTTTATCCGCAGATGTGTGGTCAATGGTCAGGCCAGAGGCAAAGTGGCTGGCAAAATGGGCACGATGGCCCATTGCACAGAGACTCAATTCAGGACAATGCCAAATTTGGCAAATTGAGATAGATCGAGCCGACACATCGCAAGCACGAAGCTTGTACATTCACCTCAGTTAAGGCTTTTGCTGTTACAAGAGCCTGCGTTCTTAGACTCGGGTTTTGCATACTACAATCGGGAACCCTCAGAGACAGTACTCCTAACGGTTCAGCAATCTGCACGTACCATGTGGCTGCATCTACTTGTAGTGACAGGTGACTCGAATCCCTGCAGGTTTCTTCCTCTTCACCGTCTTCATGTCCCTCTGCGCCATTCTTGGCGTGAAGAGCCTGCAGCTCAGTAACCTTGGGTGTCCGAAGATCTTCCTTGGTCAAGGAAGGCTGTGCCAAACTATGAGCCGTGTCCCCAAGCGTCCAAAGGACCCAACAGTCGGGCATTTGGGTTTAGGGGACTGGTGCTGTCGGTTACTATTCAGTACTTGGGAGAGTACATGAGTTTTAGGCACTTGGACCCCGAAGGTGGGGTTCAGCAGTGTATGCGGTTCAGCAGGGGGTTGCCTGACAGTGGCCTAAAAAAAAAGTGTGCATAATTTGAACACCAGGGGTGCCGTGTGGCTTTGAACTATTTACCCGGATGGCCTGATACCCCTCAAGATGCCTGAAGCAACTACTATTATGCCGCGAAAGGTTTGAAGGATCTTCTAGAAGACCTCTGTACTAGATCCAACAGACAGCCCCAAACCCTAAGCTCTCCTAGCTATCAAGAGGAACTATCAATACGGTGCCGTTCAACAGCAACAGGGTGGCTAGGCTCCACAGCCTCACTCCCGTCAAGCATGGTGGCCTACATCAACTTCCTCACAAGTCGTTCTCCCTGTGAGTCTGCCATCGGTTAGCCAAACCCCCCCCATCCCAAGCACAGAAGCCCGTGACTATGCAAGGCTCGGGGTGTTTAGATTCAGTCCAGGGCTCAAGGTCATTATAGGGTTTTGTGTTTCGGGTTTAGGGTTTGGTTGTTAGAGTAGGGCTGGTGCTGTAAGGTCAAGGATGGCAGAGACGAGTTGAGTGTATGTAGTTTCAGAACCTATAGGATTCAATTACGGACCCGTTTACATCTGGAGAAGCGACAACCTCCAGAGGAAAGTAGGTACTCGAACCAAAGCTGGCTTTAAAGTTACTACCCGGGTTTCGAGGATTTTAGAAAACTAGAACCAACACGGGACTCCGAGGGTCAAGAAATCCTAAACCCGAAGCCCCTAAACCCTAAACCCCTAAGCCCTTAAACCCTAAGCCCCTAAACCCCTAAACCCTAAACCCCAAAGCCCAAAACCCCAAAACCCCAAAACCCTAAGCCTCTAAACCCAAAACCCCAAAACCCTAAGCCCGTTGCATCTAAAAGCCCTACCCTTTTGAGGCCTGGAGGGGTCGTTGTTCATGACGGAGGAGATGTACAAGAACTTCAAGGATCGGTTACTAGCTACGCCTTTGGGTTGGGACGGTTTAGGGTTTAGCGTTTAGGGTTTAGGATGTAGGGCTTAGGATAAGGAATATATATATATATATATATATATATGTTTTCCTGTATAGGGCCGAAAATTGATGTACGAATCATGCTCAACAGTTTTTTAAGGTCCTTCAGAGATTAGGCATGACTATGGTTTATTTGTTTATATATAAAGGTTTAGTTCAGGGACTGGATTTAAAGAGCGGAGCTGTTGCGTTGTTTTCGTTGGTATGGGGTCTGATGGGATCAGAAATCTTGGAAGCTAGGTCAAGGATTCAAGGATCGCGGTCTGCCTTGGTGGGTTTTTGTTCGGTGATGTATAGGGCTTTCAGGCCTTCGAGGGTTATATGACGGCATTGGGCTTAAGGGTTTAGGGCTTATAGCTTGTAGGTTGAGGAAAGGTTTTAAACCCTAAACGGTTTAGGTTTTGAACCCCTAAACCCTGAACCCTACAGAGATTTTTAATTCTGTTTGAGAGTTAGCGCCTCTGGGCTTTCGGGGTGACGGTGTCTATAGATCTGATTATCCCAACAGAAGCGTAATGCGGTTGATGTAAATCCTGCATTACCCATAACAAGGGATATACCATAATTCTCACAGTTTAGAGTCCTTAAGGTAATGCAGGAGTTATATCATCAACGGTAATTGTCTATACTACTCCTGAGGATTCCTTACTAGAACTACGGTGTAGAATACCCCAAAACCCCATTCCAATTATTCAGGCACCTACCGTAGGCCCTACAGTAAGGGGGTATGAGGTTGATCGGGTTCAGTGGGGTTCATTGTTTCGGTCGGTGAGGGATTTGGGTGTCGGGGGTTTAGGGTTTAGGGTTTCGGGTTCGTAGATCAAGGGACTAAAGCTTGGGGTTATATAGGGCCTTTATGAGAGTATTTGGATTGGGGGTCCCTTCTAGAGGTCCCCCCTTTCCCTAAACCCTAAACCCTAAACCCTAAACCCTAAACCCTAAACCCTACACCCTAAGCCCTAAATTGAAAGAATGCAAGGCTGTCGTGACATGTCGAGCCTTCGGGCCAGCGCTTTCGGATTCTTAGATTTCAACAGACGGCCGGACGAACAAAATATGCCCTAAACCTAAACCCTGATCCCTAAACCCTAAACCCTAAACCCTAAAACCCTAAAACCCTAAGCCCTAAACCGTAGTCCAACCAAACAACCTAAAATCCTAAACCCGAAGCCCTGAACCCTGCACCCTGCACCGTGAAGAGGTCGGGCTGGAGTCCTTGTCGAAGCTGACGGACGCAGACCCCGGTGACGTCGGGGCCTCCTTCATGGTGAGTTTTAGGCCCCTAAACCCTAAACCCTAAACTCTAAACCCTAAACCCTAAACCCTAAACCCTAAGCCTCGAAAGCCTGCTGCTCTTTGCCTTTTCTGTTTCGTCCTGAGGTTCATGGTGAGGTTTAAAGCATTAGGGGTTTAGTGTTTCGGGTCTAGGGCCCGAGGCCCTACGGGTCTAGGGGTCTAGGGGTTTAGGGTTTAGGGTTTAGGGTTTAGGGTTTAGGGTCCCTAAACCCTAAAGCCTAAACTCTAAACCGAGAGATTCAGGACTTTTGGGGGTTGCAGGGTTACCTGGTGTACACTTACGAGGTTGTGGGGCGTTGGCTTGGGATCCCTTTCCGTGTCGAGAGTTCAGAACTTCCACCTTCAGCTTCCCTGTGGTGCTGAGGGGTTTAGGGTTTACGGATTCAGGGATTTAGGGATTTATAGTTCCTCTTCTGGTTACCTGTTGTCTTACGGAAGCTCATAGAGCACGACAACCATAGTACAGGTTATCACCGAAAAAGGTGCTAATCAAAGTCCATGTCGGATGGCTCTTGGGGTTTAGGGATTGGGGCTGTGACGTTCCCCTAAACCCTAAACCCTAAATCCCGCCTAAATCCCTAAATTCTTAAACCCCTAAATCCCTAAACCCTAAACCCTAAACCCTAAATCCCTAAACCCATTTTTAGGGCTTCAGGGTTTAGGGTTGCCTTAAGGATGGTCGGGCTTCATGGATCGCAACCTCAAGGCTCTGACGCCTCCAAGACACTGAGATTTAAGCCACCCTAAACCCTAAACCCTAAACCCTAAACCCTGCTTAATATGGGTAGTTGTCAAAATTATGGTCCTTTTTGGTGTACCCTAAATAATAGGTGCCGTATTTTTATAAGGACCCAACAAGGGACCATAATTTTTGACAACCACCCATATAGAAGCCTGAACAATTCCGGGTTCCTTATTTAAGGTTTAGGGTTTAGGGTTTAGGGTTTAGGGTGTTAACTGGTGTACACTCACGAATTTGTGGGGCGTTGGCTTGGGATCCCTTTCCGTGTCGAGAGTTCAGAACTTCTGCCTTCAGCTTCCCTGTGGTGCTGAGGGTTTAGGGATTCAGGGATTCAGGGATTTGGGGATTTAGGGATTTAAGGATTTAGGGATTTAGGGATTTCGGTCTAGGGTTTAGGATGTGGTAGGGGCTCTACCCCTCTATAGTTCCTCTTCTGGTTACCTGTTGTCTTACGGAAGTTCATAGAGCGCGACAACCAAAAAAAGGTCCATGTCGGATGGTTCTTGGGGTTTAGGGATTGGGGTGTGGGGCTGTGACGTTCCCCTAAACCCTAAACCCTAAACCCTAAACCCATTTTTAGGGCTTCAGGGTTTAGGGTCGCCTTAAGGATGGTCGGGCTTCACGGATCGCAACCTCAAGGCTCTGACGCCTCCAAGACACTGAGATTTAAGCCACCCTAAACCCTAAACCCTAAACCCTAAACCCTGCTTAATATGGGTAGTTGTCAAAATTATGGTCCTTTTTGGTGTACCCTAAACAATAGGTGCCGTATTTTTATAAGGACCCAACAAGGGACCATAATTTCGACAACCACCCATATAGAAGCCTGAATAATTCCGGGTTCCTTATTTAAGGTTTAGGGTTTAGGATTTAGGGATCATATGGAGGATCGTGCCACGTTCTTCAGATTGCACAGCCCGGAGCATGGCTCTAGCCCTAACTCTAAGCACCCATGGTCTAGGCCTCAAGAGCACTAGGGGCAACTAGTCACGCGTCTTGCTTGGAGGGTCGGGGGACTTAGCAAGTAAGCAATAAGTAGACTTATAAGCATCCGAAAAGAGACCCTAGTTGGGGTTACGATACTTATATGTTTACAAAGCAACTACTTACTAAGTCCCCCGACACTCCAAGCAAGGACCCATGGTCTAGGCCTCAAGAGCACTTGGGGCAGCTAGATACGTGTCTTGAGTCAAGACTGACTAAACAGCCTGGCTTTCAAGTCTGCGGTGGGGGCTGATGGTATGACCAGGTAGGTAGGACCTTCTTGTACATGGAAGTACAGTATAGTTGTAGATGACAGTCTCCCCAGGTACAACATGCGGTCCAATTGTACCAAGAACAGTCATACCGAGGTCATGCATTAAAGCAGCGCCTTCATGCAGGCAGCTGGAGGAACAACGTGCTCATCCCGGTTGAAAACAGAGGAACTGCCTCAGTCTTGACCGTAGTAATGCTTAAACCCCCTTAGCCTGAAAGCACTGGAGCCTCTATATGGGCATCTTTGGGTCAGGGTTTGGGGTTTAAGGTTTTGAGATTTCGAGCCCCTCAACCCTAAATCCTACAGCCTAAGCCCTAAACCCTAAACCCGAATCCAAAGGTCTACAACGGCTTCCTGCGGAAGCGCGCAGAGCTCGCCGGGGTCGAGAGCCACCCCCAGCTTGGTGGGTTCTTGTTAGGGAGCTCAGAGGCTCCCCATGCTTGGAGGATCATGGGACTTAGTAAGTAAGGTTATAAGTCCCCCAATTGGGGTTATAAGTATAGTTACCTTAATTATATCCTTACTTACTAAGTCCCATGGTCCTTTAAGTATAGTACCATTATGTAACTGGGTCCCGAAAGACCATCCTTATGAAGGTTTTAGGGTCCTAATTCCATAATGGTACTATATATGGAGCCTCTGGGTTAAATTGCCTCAGTTTTCGGTTCAGGAAGGGTTGTAGGAGGGTTTAGGACCTTAATTTTCGGTTCATCAAGGGTTCTATGAGGGCTTAGTTTAGGAACCTAGGAACTTAATTTATATCGGCTGCCAGAATATGGATCTCGAGTGAATAATATGGTTTCCGTCCTATGGGACGTTAAGCAAACTAAGTTTTTCAAAATAAGCTCGGCTTAGGACTTGTGGTGGATCTCAGGGGTCTGCTTTTTAGGGCCCCTGAGTCAGTTTAGGGCTTAAGTGTAGGAGGGTTTGAGGTTCAAATTTCGGGCCCTAAGACAGTTTACGGTTTAGGAGTTTAGGGGTTTGAGGAGTAGGTGCAGGGCCCAGAGGCATGGTAGTTGGGATCCGAGGAAACAAACGTCTTGGTGTTGGAGCTTGGCGCTACCATGTCATAGGTTTCAGTAGTGGTGAAATCGGTTTGGGGTTTAGGGTTTAGGGTTTAGAGTCCGATTACCTTGTAGAACCCCCTTGAAGGTTGAATATCGACCAAGCCGTAAGTATCCAGGCAGCTGGATCGAGACTCGCGCCGGACTAACTCAGCGAATGCGAAAATGCGAACACACAAGCGCGAGTTTCATTCTGAATGGGAGTTAGGGCCAAGCGTTGAGGGTCTAGGGTACGTCTACAGCCTACCCTAAACCCTAAACCCTAAACGCCTGCCAAGTCTTGTTTGTCCCAGATGTAAGTATCCCTCCATGAGCCCTAGCAGTCCACCTGCCCAATATAGTTGGCATTGCCTATGATCTCCATTGTAGTTCCTTTTTTTTGGTTTGACCATTTCTATATTAAGGATCCTAAAAGGTGACCCCCCAAAAGAAACTACAATGGAAACTATAGGTAGGTGGCACTTCAGGATCGTATAGTAGCTGTGAGGCTGGTGTTTGGTTGAGTGTATGACTGTCAGGTATTGGCATGTCATTGTGATAAACTCGCCCAAGACGTCTCTAGCCCACCCAAATGCACACGATAGCCCCTAAACCCTAAAACCTAAACCCTAAACCCTAAACCCTAAGCAGGATTCCGCTTTTTTCAAGCACCTCGAGCCCTCGAACCCCAAAGCCTCGAACCACGAAGTCTCACCGAAACCCTAAGTCTTAGGGTTTAGGGTTTAGGGTTTAGGGTTTATTGTTTAAGGTTTAGGGTTTAAGGTTTAGGGTTGAGGGTTTAGGGATAATATAGAGGCCTTAGTAATTACCTATACTATTCTGGGGGTTCCTTAGTATAGTTATAGTTACAGTATATTATATCCCAAGGCCCTATTCTACTTATTGAGGCCCCTACAAGCCCCAAACCTTAACCCGTCCAACACCCTTCAACCTGCACCCAGCATAAACTCAGAAGCTCCCGAAGCCCTCAGCCATTCATCAATGGCATGCTACCGGGTTCGGGCTTTAGGGTTTAGGGTTTCGGGTTCTGGAGTGCTATACTTTATTGTTTTTGTGGACTTGCAGGAACCACAATTGCCTCAAGCTTAAGAAATGCTTTTTTCGTCCCAGGATACGTCAAGAGCCCAGACCACAAAATCAAAGCTAAAGCCTAAACCCGAACCTGAAAATGTTAACATCGTGAAAAGGATTACAACAACTACCAAATAGTGTTATTACTATGATTACTCATTACTACTATTATTATCACTATCAATATCGTGATTATCATGGTTATTAATTTGGATTGTTCAAAATTATTGTTGTTGTTGCTGTTAGAAATACTTTAGTAGTACCTTGGTTCTTACTATTGCAAGAAGCCCTAAACCTTAAACCCTAAACCCTAAACCCTAAACCCTAAACCCTAAACCCTAAACCCTAAGCCCAGCTACCAAGGTTCGATGAGGAGTCTCCAACTTTGGAGTGCAGACCTGAGCTGCCGGGGGTTTAGGAGGTTTAGGGGTCAGGGTTTAGGGTTTAGGGTTTAGGGTTTAGGGTTTAGGGTTTAGGGTTTAGGGTTTAGGGTTTAGGGTTTAGGGTTTAGGTTTGGGGGTTACGGGTTCAGAGGGTAATATAGGGGCCTGAATACACCTATACTAGTTTGGGGGTTCCTTATGATAATTGTAGCATAATATACCCCCAAAGACTATTCTAATTTTTACGGCCACTACAGGAGGGTTTAGAAGAGCTTAGGCTTTTCGGGCAAAGCCCGTAACACCAGTGACGCATTGGACCTGTAGGAACATGGTGTGCCGACCGCCAGTTAGCTCCTTCGGCGCCGTTCCGCCTATCGTTTTTTTCTTGGAAGGCCAAACGCAAACCCTAAACCCTAAACCCAAAACCCTAAATCCTAAAATGCCATAACCTTGAACCTGGGGAAGGGGAAACCGTCAAACTCAAACCCCTCAAATCTAAACCCTCTAACCGTAGGCTCTGACCGTAGGCTCTGACCGTTACGGAACCCTTATGACCGACATAAACCATCCAAGCCACGCCCCAGCAATTCGACTTTGAAGCAGGTTTTAGGGTAGATATTTTAGTGTTAGCAGTCATACTAGAAACTACATCGGGAATACGAATTATTACTATATATTCCGGCCCCTCTAGACCCAAGAAGTGCCAAGCCAGGATGCCAATTTTGTAGAGCTCGTGAATTCTAGGTGTACTTCTGAATCCAGAGTTTCTGGGAACACGTTGACTCGAAACCCTAAACCCTAAACCCCAAACCATGATACTTAAACCATACCCTATAGCTAACCCCAGATCCCGAGTCCTCCGCCCCTTAACCCTAAATCCTAAACAACTAAATCCTGCACCGTAAACCCCAAACCCAAAGAACCTACCTTTTTAGGGTTTCTTAATATCAGTTCCTTATCTAAGTCCTTAAACAGGTAGGTTCTTTGGGGTTAAGGCAAAGCCTAAGCCCCCAAACCCTAAACCGGTTTAGGGTTTAGGGTTTAGGGTTTAGGGTTTAGGGTTTAGGGTTTAGGGTTTAGGGTTTAGGGTCACACCCCGAGAACCTTGAAGGCAGAAAGCCATCGTGCGCCTCAGCTGCCTCACGCGGATCTTCGAGAAGGAGAAGGGGAGTCTCGTCGGGGGCACCCTGTATTGGGGCTCAGGGCTTAGGGTTTAGGGTGTAGGGTATTGGGTATTGGGGCTCACGGCTTAGGGTTTCATATACGGGGCCTTGAAATACTTAGAATAGGGTTTGGGAGGCATATTATACTATAATTATAACAAGGAGCCCCCCAGAAAGACCCTATTCTAACTATTAAGGCCCCTACATTAGGCCCCCTCCCCTACCTTTTTAAGGTTCCTTGCGATTTGTGGTTTGTAGATATCGCTCCTGAAAGTGGTAGTTAGCTTCGGTTTCCCCAAGCCTTACCTGGACCTTAAAGACCTTCCTTTTTAGCGTTCCTTATTATGATTTCTTTGTCTAAATCCATAAACAAGAGTAGGTTCTTTGGGGTCTAGGTAAACCCTAAAACCGTGAACCGTCCGTTAATTTAAACGCTTCGCGTCGTCCGCCTCCTCCCGGCCGCAAACAAAGAGGGCCAACGAACTCGGACGAGGGCCGGGGAAGGGGAGGAGATGAGGCAAGGCAGGACTTCTTGTCGAGGTGCGGCGCATCGCGGCTGCTGCGGAAAAGCGGACAGGAGGGAAAGCAGGGCGAACGGGGAGTGGGGGAGGGGGGGGTTTCCGGGGAAGGGGGGGGGCATCCCGATTGGGTGTGGGCCCTAAACCCTAAACCGGGCGGCGGCGGGTGGGACTTCCTACAAAGAGCACAAATCCATTGGAGGAGGCGAGACTTCACCGCAGGACCTTGGGGCTCATCTATTTTTTGGGTTCACACAGACGAACCCCCCAATATATGTTTTGAGGGGTGGGTCATGGAAAGGGATTAAGAGGTGGGGAATGGAGGGAATCCGAATAGGAACCTCTGACCGCATCGGCCGGGGCCGAGGCGAATTTTATTGCAGCTCTTCGAGTCATCCTTGGTTGTAGATGGGACTCATGTCCAGGTCTGCAAGCTGTTTTTATGTCTATGTGGTCGTTTTGTGATGAAAGGTATTTCTACTTGATTCCGAGCAAGTTATCTTGCATGTAACATAGTTTTAGCACGGCTATGCACCTGAGAACCACTATATAGCACCATTTATCACTCGTCAAAAAGCTTGGAACTATTTTAGCATTACTTTAGCAAGACTCTAACATTACCCAGAGGGTCCCCATATAGTACCATTATGGAATCGGGTCCCAAAAGCCCATCCTTATTAAGGTTTTAGGGGCCTAATCCCGTAATGGTACTATAGATGGAGCCTTTGCGTTATATAGCACTACTTCGCACAACTTTGAGACAAGAAGGCTTCCATTAATTAGGTTATAAAGGTACGTGTTTTGGGCCACCGGTAAGGTTTAGACTTTAGGGTTTGGGGTGTAAGCTTTAGGGTGTATAGGGTTTGTATTGAGTGTTTCTGGCCTTTTGGCCGTGAAGAGCTTATGGGGTTTATAGGGTCTGTAGGGCTTACAGTGGGTTTCTAAGATTTAGCGTAACAGGCCTTAGAGTTCGGAACATTACATATAGTACGGCTTGAAAGGGTTTCATAGAATTTGAGTGCGATTAGTCTCGGTTCAGGTTTGAGGGATGTGGGGAGCATAGTCTGTACATACTGTGACATAAGTGCCGGAAGAGAACTTGTAGTCATGATGGCTGCCATAGCTGCATTGTACAAGTGTACACATAGTCCGACACAAGTAGGAGTTGTGCACCTGTTGGACCACAATAAACCCTTGAGGGGCTGTTTCTGCGGAATTCACAAGTTTCCAAGGCTTTCAGCCAAATGGTAGATTGCGCCAAAAGGCTACACCATGGACTCACAAGAAGTGCGGCATGCTGCAATTTCGGGCAGCATCTGGATGACGAAGCGTTCTTAGTTCGGCTCTGTGCCACGGCCATGTCCAACAAATATTGCCTGACGTCCGCCAACTAGCATGTGCTTCCCCCAATAAACATTGCGAGGTGCCGAGCATGTGATGGTATGCGCGAACGTGTATTGGTGCGTTCTGGAAGTTTCGAGTATTTTCGTGAAAGTCGGTTTCGAGATAATGCCTGCTCCCGCCGCACACATTGTTTACACACTTTCTATTTCCGTTCTCAGACCTCGCTGAGGCTCAATGGCTCCTCTAGCCGGTCGTGCCGTTCTTGTGTAGTGTGTGTCTTTCAGCTGCTATGGAGTGGTTACTCTTCGATGTTGTTGCGGCTACACGAATGGGAGGTCGATTGGTGCAGCAGTTCGAAGGGGAGGTCAACGGGCACAGCTATATAAGATTCAAAGGAATTTATCGTAAAGTTGGGTGTTTCGTGTAGTTCTCCTTATGCTCACTCATGAACTGCACTGCGGTTTATAGCCGTGTCGAGCTTGCCAAGCGCGTGCGTCTGTATTGCCAATATGGAAAGAGTTCTGTTTCCATAAGCAGAGAGGATGATGATGCTGAGCTCCAAACAAAAACAACCCCCTGAAGTCTCCCCAGATCTGCATTTCGTAACTATTGTTTTTGGCTACCCTTGCCTTCCGCCTAGGACTTTACCTTCGCCATGATCATGGTTAGACCAAAACTTAAAATGCCACTAACAAGAAAGCCAATCCACGCTTCAGGTCTTCGAGGCGTTTATGTCGCTGCCGCCTCGTGTCCGCCAGGCCTGCGTCAATGCGGCGGCATATTGACAACAGAAATGCACAGAAGTTCCAGAGGCCCATAGACATGAAATTCATAGGAGTGTGCAGGAGATCGGTGGTTTTTGGTACGGAGTTGTCAACTCTCCTAAAATTTAAACCGGGTTTCGAAGTACAAGCACGAGGCTGAGATGAAGGACCATGATAGCTGCGGAAGAGCTGTGGAGAATGTCCATGGAATCACCTTGGAGGTCCTAATAGCCCAAAGCCCCACAAATAGGTTTAACCTTAAACTATGGTACTAAGTGTATACTTGGAGCCCTAGGCTCAGGACCATCATGAAACCACAAAATTCCAAAGCCCAAGCTCCAAAACCGCGCATTTTAAGCCGCATCCCAAAACTTGGCAGAGGGCCCAGCCCAGAACGAGAACTGCCCCGAACCCCAAAGCAAAAGCTTTCAGTGAGCCACAGTTAAGGGTTTAGGACTGAGAATGGCGCCGGAACCGTGCAACCCCAACGAGCTGAAACCAGCAAGTCAAATCACGCAGCTCCGAACTTCAGCAGTTGCCATTACCAAATACTCAACACCCTTAACCCTAAATGCTGGAACCCAAACCCTGTACCGTATATCCCTGAAACCGAAAGCCTAAACTCTAAACTTTTCCAAAAGCTTGAACTTACAGTTTCAGGCCTAAGCCCTATTTAGATTAATGCTTCGAAGGACCTCATAGTTCGGGCCCTAGACCCCTTAGGGACCCAATAGTAAGGTCCCTGGAAGCGTATGGGTAAAGCAAAAAGCTGAAGGCCGTAAACCCTAAACCCTAAACCCTAAAACCCAAAACCCTAAACCCTAAAGCAAAAAGCTGAAGGAGCTCACTGGCTTTCTGAACGCCGACGGCTTGAGCAAGAGGGGCTTTCTGTTGCACGGGGCTCTGTGGTACCCGGGAGCGGGGCGGGGCGGGGAGTAGGGCTCAGGTACTTAAAGGATCATGGAACTTAGTAACTGAGGTTATAAGTAAGGTAACTATGTTTGAAATTACTTATAACCCCAAGTAAGGTGCTTATAACCACTTACTAAATCCCAAGATCCTCCAGGTAGGGTGTTTCAGTTTATTTTACATACGGTGTCATTTCTATCGTTGGTCACGAGGGAACAGGTCCTCCGGATTCTGTACCATCTGCCCGTACCCACTACAAACATAAGCCAGTACCCCCAAAGCCGGCGTAGGTTGGCTTTGTGCTCAGATGTATGAATGCCTGGAGCCGTTTAATGGTGGAGTGCATATCTTCTGTCCAAGGTTAGAAGTATGGGCCCCTAATATGGACCCTTGGGGGGGTCTAGGGTCCCTTTTGGGTACCTATGGGGTATATAGTAGGTATACAAGGGTCCCAGGGTTAAGGGCCCATACTAGGGGCCCATGGGTTCAACGGTAGATTCTGTTGGAGTCCTAACCATTCGTACTCCTAGTTAGCAACACCGTTCAGTTTAAGATACGTAGTTGAAGTACGTCGTCATGACCTCCAAGGCTGCAGTAGGGCTTCGTGAGGGTGCTGGAAAGGGGGGATGTTTTCTTGAGTTGGGTTGGTTTGCGGTTGTCTTGCGTTTGAAGTCCCCACAGGTTACGAAAGCCTAGGTCTGTTGTACCTCGAATCCTCATTACTTGTAGACCGCGTAGACTTCATCTGAAGAACAGAATTGTGATGTGTCCAAGCCCCGAAGCCCAAAACGTATAGACCATTATAGACCCTTAGCCCATCGTCTGCAGACCGAGTTTCGCCGCCGTCGAGTCATTCGACCTTCCCAGACCCTATGCTCAGGATGCACTCGCCGAACTTGATGTGCAACGCCTTTCAAAACAAGAACCTCAGCCTCGTGAGGGGCTCAGGCGTCTTTGCAGGAAAACGGGCTGAGGGTTCAGTGCTGAAGGGCCATCTTTGTCGAAGTCAAAGCCTGCAGGATTGATTAGCACACGACTTGATCGACAGGTTTTGGGGGTTGTCTACAGGTCCACTCCACGTTTTTTTGAGGTTTCTATGTATAGTGTCATCCTGAAAGACGAAATGAACCCGAAAAGGCTTTAACTAGGGATTCATAGTATAAGGGTATAGGACCCTTACTTTTAAGGGTTTTTTGGTCCTTAAGGATGGAAAAGTAAAACTCGATATGTAAGGCAGCTACAAATCATTGTTGACTCCAATTAAGTTAGGATAGGAATAGTCCTCCAAGTTCTGCAGGAGTCGCAGAGCTGCCTACATTTTTCTAGGCTTCTGCGATAGAGTCATACCCTTCAGGACGAAATGAACCCTAAAAGGGTTTAAGGTTCATATACCATGTCGGAATTCACAGTATAAGGGTATAGGGCCCCTACTTTTAAGGGTCATTTCGTCCTTAAGGACTGTGTAATGCCCCTCAAACCGTATCCCCTTGTTTCAGGGCTATACCAAGCCAGGCACCAAGCCCTGAAAGAATTTAACCCTTGTGGAATCCATGGTGAAGCCGTTTAAAGAACCCGATTCCATTCTGCAAGACCCCGTATAACCGCATATAGCCGTATATAGACATCGTATTCGGCCTTTTCATAACCCTACTCCGATTCCCTAAGGGTCCATGTACCCAAATAGTATATACTTAGGCCTTAATGTAGTCCCTATCTGGGTACTTTAGGGTCAAAGTATACTCAGAGGGATACATGGACCCTTAGGTCGATCCTAGGTTTTATTTTCGGGCACGTGCTCAAGAACTTTAGACCACAAAAAGCATCAAGATTAGGTCGCGACGGCGTCTTGCACCCCCCTTAAACGCAGTCATAGCAGCTGAGTGAGCGCACTTTACTGTTTTGGTGATAAAGATGTCCTTTTTTGGCCCGCTGTGGAGCTGAAAGTTTTGCTCTTTTTGAGCATGTGATGTCAGTAGCTTGTGACTAAGACTTAAAAGCCCTTGAACCCCGTGGTGCCGACCTTGAGCCATTCAGGACAAGGCTATGCGGCAGTTGCTCAAGTGACTCAGCTTAGACCTGAAAGACGAAATTTAAGGTTCGTATACCATATGGGGATTCATAGTATAAGGGTATAGGGCCGCACTTTTAAGTGTTTTTCGGTCCTTAAGGGACAAATAAAGTAGACAGCAGGTTTCGGGCTAAGCACTCAGGAACAGGATTCGGGATTTAGAATTTTGGGTTCTTAGATTCGGGATTCAGGATTTAGGGTTTTGGGTCCTTACAGCGAATCCCTCAGATTCCTTTTCGGCTTTGCGAAGCAAGCACAATTACACGGCCTTGTCGTTGGGCCACTGTAGCAAAAGCCTTCTCGAGCTCCTTCAAAATCCAAAGGACCGTGGAAGAAACATAATATAGAAGCCTAAGTAATTACGTACACTATTTTGGGGGTCCTTTTTATAGTTATAGTATAATATACCGCAAAGCCGTCTTCTGATTATTAAGAACCCTACATTATCTGAGTGAGCACGCAGTTGACTCCAAGCAGTCTGGCTAAGGAGTACCATGGACATGCTTATGCACTGAGCCTGGACTCTAAACCTTGAGCCTTTGCCCCGCCCGCAGGCTTTAGTGCTCTTAGGAATTGTGTTTTATATTTAAGATGATACAACTCCGAGGGCGTATTGAAACAACTTAACCCTGCTATGTAATTTCTAGCCACATTCTAGGTACCCCAGAGTCTCCACATATAGTACCTTTATGGAATTAAAAGACCATCCTTATTCAGGTTATATGATTTCTGATACCTACAACTCTACTGTTTGGGCCCTGGGAACCGAATGCCCGCAAAGCCATGTATCGCACAATTGAGGAACATACATTAAATCACAATAATGAGCACGGGCTTTGGGCAACGTGCTCAACCCTACAGTACCTACAGGAAGTGCTGTAGAATCCACATATTTTCAAGCAATCCAGTATTACCTTAACCCCAAATAACCTACCTGTTTAAGGACTTCTACAAGGAACTCATATGAAGGAACCCTGAAAAGGTAGGTTCTTACTTTAGGGTCCAGGTATGTCTATCAAGACTGGGTTGTCTTTTGGGATCTTTTTTAACTTCCCTTACTATTTTGTAGAGAACCATAATAGTAAATACTTTTCAAAGGGCTTAAAGGACAACTTAGTAGGGCTCCTTATTATGATTTCTTTTTAATAAGTCCTTAAAAAGGTAGGTTATTTAGGGTTAAGGTAAACCCCACACTCGTAGACTCGTGGCCCTGAACCATAATAGTAAATAGTTTTCAAAGGGCTTAAAGGACAACTTAGTAGGGCTCCTTATTATAATTTCTTTATAATAAGTTCCTAAAAAGGTAGGTTATTTAGGGTTAAGGTAAACCCTACACATAGTAGTAAATAATTTTCAAAGGACAACTTAGAAGAGCAGGTTGTGTTGTCGGAGCACGGCACTGAGAAGCAGTGGGCCGAGAGTTCGAGATGAAGCCCATCTTACCCCCGAGCGGCTATAAGGATTTAGGGTTTAGGATTTAGGGTTTAGGGTTTAGGGTTTAGGGGTTTAGGGTTTAGGGTTTAGGTTTCTTTAGTGGTGCTGCCTTGCACACGTTGTAGTTCCAGGTAGCTTTGCAATATCCATGAAAATCCCTCAACCACCAATCCATGACCCGATTAACCCTGGCCCTAGAGCCACTTGCCGAAGCTGACTCAGGATGTATCAGCTCTCGGAGGAAGCGCCCGCACCTCAGATCCCTCGCCGAAGGGGTTTGGGTTTAGGGCTCAGGGTTAGTCAACACAGTAAAACTCAGCATAGCGACGCTCGCAAAAACACCTTAAAAAGGACCCTAGTATAGAACCTTCTACCACCCCGTAAAGCGGGAACCTCGGATCGAATCCTATAGTAGCCTTGAGTTTTTTTCTGAAAAAGGGGAACCTAGTATAGATCCCTACAGTACCCCATAAGGGAACCCCTGAAAGAGTCTACCCCCATGCACAGCGCATCAGAATGATGATGGTGATTATGTACTCGTGAAAGTCATCAGTATCATTTCTATATCAGTGATCAGTACAACTATGGTTACCATCCTCATTATCAGTGGCATACTTAGCATCAAGTTGAGTATCATGAACCTGATATCATTACCCATTTTGTCACGATCGTTATCAAAACATAACGCAATTATGATAACACGTTCTAAAAGTTTTTGTCTTAACTATCGTGGCACAACCATGACGATCACCATCCTGATGTTTATCATCATCACCATCATCATCATCATCATTATCATCATCACCTGGAGCAGCATGGCCACGAGATGCGCCTGGACAAGCCGGATATTACCAGGTGTTTGGGGTGCTTGTTTCCACTTATAAGGGTGCCTTCAAGGGTTCGTTTAAAGGTGTAGGGTTTCGGGTTTAGGTTTCCGTTAGGGCTTCCAGAGTACCTAAAAAATTGTAGAATGTAGGGTTTCTCTGATTCGAATTACTAAGTATCCCCCAGAACAGTACACAGGACCCTTTAGGTGTTGAATGCTTCACAAGAAGCGTCCGGGTCGCTGGGCTCACTTGGAGGGTCCGGGGAGTAACTAGGTAAGAAGTAGACTTATAAGTACCACAAAAGAGATCTTAATTGGGGTTACGATACATATAGGTGGTTGTCAAAATTATGGTCCCTTTTTGGGTCCTTATTATAATACGGCACCTATTATTTAGGGTACCCCAAAAGGGACCAACATTTTGGCAACTACCCTAGAAGTTTGTAAACTAACTAGTTGCTAAAGCATGTGAACCCATGACCCCAGTCCCGAAAGCCCGAAGTCAAGCAGAACCCCGAGAATCGGCCTGGAACTCCATACGGAACCTCGTAGAACGTGATACAACCGTATTAGAACCTATCAAGAGCGTAGAAACGCCGAAAGAATTCAACTGTCATACAAAAGACGCTAGTACTATGGAGCCTTTCCCAAGAAACACATGGCATTATCAAACCCTATCCACCTTGTAGACCCTGCGTCGTAACGAGCCATATAAACACTTTGTAAAGCTCGGTATCAAGGCTCTGAGTTCCAAGAAGCCGCCTGGTCGATACTGTCAGGTTTCCCGCCCCTGCAGATGGCGAAGCTGGGGTTGGTCCCCCAGACTCTTCCGAGAACCCAATACCCCCTTAATTATGGCTTAGACTTAATAAGGTTTCAGGAATTTCCGAAACCCCAAACCCCAAGCCCCAAGTAAGAGGTATTTGGATAATCGAGTTCATGCCATACAGGGCTTTCTACTATGATATAACGTACATTCCCTACTTCAGAGCTAGTGGGAGTCTCCAGTTCGATTAGGGTTTAGGGGTTTAGGATGGCTTAGGGCTTTTATTACTAGACCCTAAACCCTAAACCCGAAGCCCTAAGCCCTAAACCCTAAACCCCAAAAATAATGCTTAGGATCTAATCATTTTGGGGTTGGGGAACTCCCTGAGTTGGGATCTTGCAAGTGTCCGACTAAATAGGGCCAGACACTTCGGCTTAGGAATCTTGGGAGCTTTCGGAAGTACCCCACACGGTTTAGGGTTTAGGGTTTAGGACCCTAAACCCTATCTTTGGGATATCGGGTTTAGGGATGTTCGGGTTGGGGCATCAGGGATTGGAGCTTCGTGGGGGCATGGGCGTTTAGTTTTGCCAGTTTTGGGGGTTTGGATGTTAGGGTTTAGGAGTTCCGTGGTTTAGAATGCAGGCTTTGGGCGGGTCTTAAGGTTGAGGGTCTGAAATAGCGTTTAGGGTTCAGGGTTTAGGGTTTAGGGTTTAGGGTTTAGGGTTTAGGGTTTATAAGTTGCTTTTGAAGAGAGCTTCTGGATGAATTGTGTTTCAGTTTCTGCTGGGGTTCAGAAGTTCATGGGGCCAGGGCAGGCAGTGCAGTGCCGTGGGCTCCGACCCAAGGGACGGGAAAGGGATGGTCCAGTTGGTATATATATATATATGTATATGTAGATAATATATAATATATTTAGGGTGTAGGGGTTTAGGGTTTAGGGTCCTATGCTCATCCTTCCCTAAGTCTGTGACATTTTCAGGTGGGTCGTTACCGTTATAGGAACCTTACAAGAAGGTCTATATACCTTATAGAAGCCTTTTGGAAGCCCTACATACCCTAAACTCCCCACCTGTAGTTTCTTTCCTAAGGGTCCATGTACCAGTGTAGTACATACTTTGGCCTTGTAGGTACTTTATGGCCAAAGTATATGCTATATGGCTGTGGCTGTCCGGACAACTCTAAACGTGAACCCTAAATCCTAAACCCTAAACCCTAAACCTAAACCCTATAAACCTTAAGCCCTAGCCCCCCCTAGATCCTAAGCCCTCAAACTTAACCCTCAATCCAAACAGCCCTGGTACCCCTAAAACCTAAACCTTCAACCCTAAACCCAAACACCCTAAACCCTAAAGCTTAAACCCCCAACCCTAAACCCCAAAACCCTAACCCCAAAACCCTAAATCCCAGAAGGCTTATGCATCAGGGTTTATGGAAGTCCCTTCGGCTCGCCCTCCAAGTACAGGCTCCTTGCCCCGAGCCCTCAAACCCCGTAAACCCTGATGCATAAGCCTTCTGGGATTTAGGGTTTTGGGGTTAGGGTTGAGGGTTTAGGGTTTTGGGTTTTGGGGTTTAGGGTTGGGGGTTTAAGCTTTAGGGTTTAGGGTGTTTGGGTTTAGGGTTGAGGGTTTAGGTTTTAGGGTACAGGGTTTAGGGTTTATAGGGGTCTAGGGTCTAGGCTTTCGGGCATCGTGAAACCCGAGAAAGTTGGAACTTGGAAAAGAAAGATATATGAGGATCAAGGTTGGAATCCCTTGTTTGGAGGATCTTGGGACTTAGTAAGTAGGGTTATATGTACTTTAAGTGGGTTATAAGCAGTGATAGGTATAGTTACCGTATTTATAACCTCAGTTACTAAGCCCCATGATCCTTTAAGTGTACATTGCCCTTTTCCCAAAATTCTAACCTACGAAACTACCATCCTAAACCCAAGTAACTAATCAGTAGGTTCTTGTGGCCCTGAAAGGAGGAGAGCGATATTCTAACTCGCCAGCTTGTACTTATCACTCGACTCAACTCCGAGTAGAAAGACCCCCTAAACCCTAAACCCTAAACGCGAAGCTGAACCCTCAACCCTCAACCCGGTCAAGCCTGAACTGCAAGCCCCAATCCCTAAACTCTAAATACCCCAAACCCTAAACCCTAAACCCTAAACTCTAAAGACCCGAGACCCTAAACCTTAGCAACACGAAAGACCCCAAAGGCTCTAAGAGCTAAGGACCCGATAGACCCTAAGCCCTAAGCCCTGGAAACCCTATAGACCCTAAGCCCTGAACCCTAAAAGCTCCTAAACCCTAAACCCTAAAGATCACTATCAACCCTAAACGCAAAAGACCATAGACCCTAAGCCCTAAAGGGTTTAGGTTTTGGGGTCCTAAAGGTCATCACCGTCATGGTGGAAGAGATGGCGACGCACGCGAAGAAGTGCGAGGCCACGTCGCGTCGGCATTTGGGGGGGTCTGGGGTTCAAGGTGTTTTGGGTGTGTGGTTTAGGCTTATGGTTAATGTTTTAGGCTATAGGTTCTGGGATTTAGGGTTGTATCAAGGTCTAAATTACCAAGCTTATAGATACTGTGCATGCGACAGTTGGTCAGCCATGTTGATTAAAGGAGGGTTGCAGCTTTCCGGCTGTACTTGAAAGTAAGGGATTAGGGTTTAGGGTTCAGGGTTTAGGGTAATAACCCTAAACCTTAAACCCTAAACCTAGTAAGTATGTTCATGCCGACTTTCTTCTCCATAAGGGTGCGGATCGCCAATTGAAGGTTTAGGGTTTAAGGTGCGCGGTTTCTGATGAATAAAGTGTTGGGACTAATAGTCGAGGAGCTGATGATGTCAGGTTTAGGGCTGTAGGGTTTCGGGGTTTAGTAATTATTCAGAGGTTGTGATGCTACGAACTACGGGTAAGAGCTTCAGGGTCTTCGTGTTAAGGGTCTCAGGCTTTGTGAATATGTTTCGAGCTATTCGGATTGACGGCGTATGCATAGTCCTTATGTACTCACACAGAGCCCGTTTCTACCCCTTCAGAACCCTAAACCCTACACCTTAGAACCCGGTAGCTCCATTACTACAACCTAAACTCTGCCCTTACCCCCTCGAACAACAGGATGCCGAGTCTTTCGACAGCACGAACCTCGAGGTCAGCAAGTTCCAGGGCGTTAATGCCGACCGCCTCTCGGCGACGAAAAAGCCTGGACCTCATAAACCCTAAACTCTGTATTACAAGCTCTGAGGCCTAAGCCCCTAGGTTCCTGAGTGGTACCCTTTTGCCCTTGTTATTTTGGGGTTCCCTTGTTAAAACCAAACTAGGAAAAAAGGATGCCTTTCTGGAGTTTTTTTCCCAACGCAGAGCAGCGCTTTGCAGGTGTTTGTCTTGGGAGACAGTATGGGCACAGGGAGCCTCAGGATAATATAGAGGCCTGAATAACTACCAATACTATTTTGGAGATTATTGTAACTAATTATGGTATACTGGGCCAATACTGTGCCCCAAAACCCTATTCTGCTTATAAATGCCCCTATATTATAGTATATTTTTCATTCACACCTTCCCAGGTACTGCCAAGATTGTGCTGAGCCCTTGGCAGAACAACACGGACAAGCGTCTCCTCATCAGCCTGGACGAAGACGTGCCTGCCTTGGCACTGCAATAGGGTTTAGAGTTTGGGTCTTGTGCGGAGAAGGGTTTTAGGGTTTGGGTGCCTTGCCACCGACATACTCGTAGTGGAAACAGCTGATGTTGAGGCGTTAGCATTTATGGGGTTGTGTTGGCATGCAGCTGGGCTTGCTGCAATGTAAAACAACGGCGTCTTGAAACTGCACGTCCTGCCACATCACGAGCATAGAAAAGACAAGAGCTTGATTTCCCGGTGACTCGCATGCAGACCCTTATACAAAGGTCGTTATATGGCCTATGGTGCCCATATATCATTTGGTGATATTCGTGCTGATTGTCGGATTCTGTGCCGCTCAAAAACTGATCCGCACATGGAGTTGTTGAGAAGTACCCTTATGTCAATGTGTAATTAATGGATATAGCAGCAAGACACGCCTTGTTGCTCTCAGCTGGGACGAGGGGTAAATCCTTTCAGGTGTCTGGGTAATACATGAATCTTGCACTATTACTAACGGTACTTGGAGGATCTTGGGACTTCGTAAGTAGGGTTATAACTACCCTAATTGGGGTTATAAGCATGGTTACCTTGTCTATACCATACTAAGTCCCATGATCCTTTAAGTATTCCTGAGGGCTCCCTATTGCAACTATACCAAAACGCTTATCCAGGTACCTATAGTATGTACCTGGGGGTTCTTGAAACTCGAGACCTCGGCCTTTGCAGTTCGACCTTCCTACATCAACCCTAAGCCCGAATGGCTCGTTTGTCCTAGGTAGTATTGGGGAGACTCTTAAAGGGGACCCTCAAAAAGGGGCCTTATTGAGAGCGTCTATATCCTCCAAATTCCCCCTATTCCTAACTCACCGTTTGTACAAAGAAAGGACAGCCTAAACCCTAAGCCCCTAAACCCTAAACTGTAAACCCTAAACCCTGTGTGTTTGGAACGGCAGAGTTCCTGAGGTGTTGGGACTTGTAGGGACCAAGGTTCATGGTTCGAAGGGCGCATTTTGGCTTTGTGAGGGTTTAGGATTTAGGGTTTGGGGGTTCAACTGTGGCCCCAAAGGTATAATGACCCTCTATTTGGGCCCCTAAACCCTAAACCCTAAAACTTCATTTAGAGAACTGCCCATTTACAGGGCACAATCCCCAAAACGGCAGGCTTTTGGATCCGAGGGTTCAGGCTGTGTTGAGCTGTTGCGGCCTTGGCTGTCGAAAATTGGGCCTGAAGCGATCAATATTTCCACGTCTATATGGATGGTTCTGTAAATTAGGGTCCCGTTTAGGAACCCAAATAGATGGCGGCACCCTTATAAAAGAAGTGCCCTGAAAGGGACCTGCATTTAGAGAACCACCACTATTCACGGGCTTGTTTACATTATAGCCGTTGTCGGTTCGAACACACCCGCAATCCCAAAGTACAGTGAACCTCAAAGACGAAATGAACCCTAAACGGGTTTAAGGCTCATATACCATATAGGGATTCATAGTATGAGGGCATAGGGCCCTTATTTTAAAGTGTCGTTTGGTCCTCAAGGAATGACTCTGGCCATATACGTATAACACTGTAGCTTAGGGAGCTTTTGCAGCCTGTGCCCTGGCCTCTCATGGAGGTCCCTGGGCCAAACTCAGAATCCATCCGCCGCCGCTGGATTACGGAGTACGGCCCAGTACCTCAAAGACGAAATGAACCCTAAAAGGGTTTCAGGTTCATATACCGTATAGGGGTTCATACTATAAGGGTATGGGGCGCTTAAGTTTTCAATGTCTTTTGGTCCTACAGGTACCTGCCACCCAGCTGCCTTTGGCAGACTTAGTGGATGATGCAACGCTCGGATGCTGTCGCCGACTGACTGCTGCTGCGACAACGCACGCCCCACTGCCCGAGGGTCAGATAGGAGAGTTCTTCACCATGGATCAGTTCCACGGCTCTTTCAAGCCCTTGCTGAAATCCTGGAGTGCACCTTCAGGCTTCTGTGGTGCCATGGCTGTGGCTGGGGTCGAGCTACTCTTCGAAACGCTTATCACGGGACCATTGGGCGTTGCTGGGACACCCCAGGCACCTGACTTCATGTCAGATCTTGCATCCACGCCCCTCTGCTCCCTGGACTTAATGCCACCGCGAGCTGAGTCTCTGGGTTTGGGAGAAGCATTTTTTTACTTATCAATTATGGAACTGTTCCTTAAATGAACCATTATCACATTATGACCAGAAAGTTCATACTTGTCCTCCCTAGTTACTTCAAAGCTCAGGTCAATCATGAAGCAACTCCACAGCCGGCGGACCAGCTACATCCAAGACCATGCCGCCAGCTTTGATGCCAAGGGCGCTCGACAGAAATATTTGAGCGCTTGGTATGCGAACTACGAGCTGTCTGACGTTCTCCGGGATTACTGCGCGCAACAGCGGGCGATGGGTGTGCCAGATGACCTCCTTGACCAGGTGGGTAGTTCTCTAAATTAGGGTCCCTTTTGGGGTCCTTTTTAGAAGGGTGCCGTAGTATATTGGAAAAACAACAAGGGACCCTAACTTGGAAAACTACCCAGGTTCTCTTTTTGCGGGAAAATCAGTGGCCAGCATACGCTGATGCTGAACATGAGGAGCGGGAGCGGCTGCTTGAGGAGCAATGCTTCGGAGGTTGCAAGGTGGGGGTCCTCGTGCTTATTATTACTACTACGACTACTACGACGAC